AAAAAAAAAAATTTTTTTTTTTTTTTTTTTTTTTTTTTAAAGAATGTAAGACAAAGATTAAAAGTATTTAATATATTGAAAAAATAATAAAACCTTGTAATAAATGCAAAAATGTTACACACTGCACTCAGTTATAAAATTTGTTAAATTTTTTCTCTCAAACCTCTACAGAAAACCATAAATTAGCCTTGTACACGTTTTCATAGTACAAAATACCCAGGAACAATAATGTTCCATTTTAATTTTACGATTATAATGCAACATTTAAAAGCTACAGTATTATTCAACTGTATAAAGTAGCAACAAATCCTTATTTCATATTTTCTGCATATAATATTGTATCTTTTTCTATACATTAGGGACTGCAAAACGATTCTCATCAAAGGTGCACTGAAGAATAATGTAATGCTGCATAAAGTGAAAAATGCTTGATTTAACTTGTATCTAGTTTCCACTGTAAAGTATGCTAATTAAAATGCTGTAATATAAACTGCAATTCTTATTGATCTAACTTCTGTTAATGTATCGTTAACAAGCATGACAACTTTGATATACGTTAAAATATTGAACACCATTAAAGGGTCATGGACATTGGATGGTGCATAACCATGTTGCAAAATGTTTGCAAAACATGTTAAGAATAAATCTGAAACGCATTACAACTTATAACTCAACATTTACTATAACACCTTTCGTTTCCTCAGGAAATATTATTATTCGATGCGATCACCGAATGTTGCCTTTAAAGTAAATTAAAAAAATCATGGGTAGATACTATCATGCAAATATAGTAGTCGTCGCAATTTCATTCATAACAAGAGTATCTGCTTAGAATATATCTATTCTTTGTTCAATAAGTTTAATCATTATCCTACACTAAATCGAACAGGTGAGAAATCTCAACTATTTTTTTATTACTAATGAATGCAATATGCCTAATCTCGTTGTCGAAGGCTTTTGTAATGATGAATAACACGTGTGCAGGCGATCACTTCAATCTTTGAAGCAAAAGCTTTTTGTCTGAAGTTATTTATTTCAAATGCCGATACTATCTTGCATCGTTTAACAAGAAATATTAAAGATTAAAGAGATAAGGAAATATACATATATGTACATATCAAACTACTAAGAATCTTTCTTCTTTTACTTTTTATCAGAGATGCTTCACTGTTACTAGTATCGACAATTTATAATAAATAAGTTCGTACAATATGGCTTTATTTCTCATTCGCTCTCGTTCTCTCTTCCTATTTTATTAATTTATAAATACATATGCACAATAATTATCACGAATCGCCATTCAATAAACACAGTACGTTGCACGTAAAAATTGCTGAGAAAGCATTAAATCAAAATCTCCAGAATCAGCAGGATATGCATCAGAGAAGTAGCTAAAAATTCAGCTATTTTGGATACATAATGAAACTATTTTGACTTCGACGACGAGTTCAAGATTCGTACTTAAACTGTTAGAACATATCTATAAGTAACCTGGTCGAGGGCAGAAATCTAATGGATGGAATGTTCTGAATGCAAGGTGTCAGAGATGTGTCAGATGCCAAAAATTGAAACAACTTAAGTTTCATTTAAATGAGAAATAAAATATATTCCATAATATTATTATTCACTATTTCTACACATTCTGTACAGTAATTCAATTTAAGGGTTTTATACCTCAATATACTTTATACAAAAAGGCTACTTATAATCTAATATTAAAGACATACCATAGCATGAGCGCCCTCCACCTTACCGCTAAACGGCAGATGGGCCGCACGCATGTTTGTACTGGTATTACAGAGTCAGTCGCCAGCGAGTATAACTTCTTCCTCTTGTATCACACACCACACACTAAAATATTAAAAGTGTGTCTCTGGTGCTTTTCATTCATTATTTTTTATAGTTACAATGTACTGTCCCTGATTAACTTACTCCATTTATTTTATTAGTTGCATGATTCAATTGCGTGATTCGTATTTTGCTTTTCTGTTTCTCGAAAAGGAATATCGCAATGTCAAAATATAATGAAGTATCTTCATTGCCTGCTATGCACGAGCTTTTCTTTCATTTTTGTTTCATTTACTTTTTTCTGAGATACTCTTTACCAATAAATAAAATTATATTTTGTGAAAATATAGAATTGTAAAAAATAAAATCTGTCTTTTCGATTTTTGATAATACCGGTACAGAAATAGTGCATTCGGAGACTCCACAAGCAACAGGACTGTTAATTCAGATCTCTGTCCTCTAAGTACTTGTACTCAAATGTAAAACCTTCCTTTTTCCTTTGTCCCCACTTTTCATAATCAAAATAAATGTAAGTTCCCTGTAACAATTATATTTTACATAATAGGTTTACATGATACATTATTTATATTTACATATTAAAGTCATTTTACTATAATATACTATACATCATTAAATTAATATTTTATATTAGTAACCTGTTCATATTCCTCGTTGATCACTTTTGGTTCTTCATGCCTTTGAAACCACATCATATACTTCGTATGAAACCTCCAACTTTGTTTCTTTAAAGCTTTTGCAGCCAGATACTGGCCTTTAGAGCCTTCCATATAATAAAATATGAAGAATAATGTCTCCGTAGAAAGACGTTGGAAGAATTCCACAGTATCGGAGTGGGGAAGTTGGACCTGACATGTAAAATACATATAAATAAAAGTAGAAAAGAAACTATGTTCTTTTTATTAGATCATTATATTATCTTATATTTATTTTTACTATATATCATTGTTCAATATTCTCCCAAGAATAAGTAATTTAATTAGTTTCAATAATAAAATAATAATAGAATAATATAATACCTGTTGATAGTAAGGAGGTGTTGGACATAAATTTCGTGGTAAATATGATCGTAAACGTTCAGAATCAGATGGATGAGGCATATGGTAATAAGCGGCCTCCATCATCTGGAACTGCAATTGGTGTTCTTTTTGAAGAGGTACTGGTCCGAGAGGTGCAACACCAAGCAGAGGAGGAATGTGTGCTTCCGAAGTGGCATTGCTGTTATTATTGTTCGCCTTGGCGCTGTCAAAGATGTTTCTGTTCGACTCGGACGGCGGTATTTCCAGACCTGCTCGGACAATTACTTGTTGGGCTATAGATTTCAAAGAGGACATGCCATCAGGAAGCTTAGGGATGAGACCATTGGCAGTGGATGGCGCTGGCGAGCAAGAATTTGCAGGCAGAGGTGAAGATCTACTGCTAACTGACGATTGTGGCGAAGAAGATGGTGGAATTGGCGTTATCATTTCGGTTTCACTGTTATGATTCTGATTTTGTTGATTATGCAACACATGTGTCGTCTGTATGGGCGCTGGATTATTGTGCTGCTGTGAGATCGTTTGTGGCACATTCGAGGTAACGCTGGACGTGGAAGATGATGACAATAAACCATTTTCACTGCTATGAGCTAAAAGTTATAAAAATAAATTATAATATTATTAGTGATAGTACGTTACCATAAAAGTATCAATTATACGCTTTTACAAAATACTTACAAGATGTTTTACTAGAGGTAGAATGGATGGCTTGTGAATTAGTATGCGAAGCAGCTACCGTAGCAAAATTGCCAGCATTAGTTGTTGCGATGTGATTACTTGTAGAACTAAGCGAGCTATGGCTAGGTGTCATGGGAATGGTCTTGTTTGGAGTGCTGCTAGATAATAAATTCGATTTTATGGTGGCAGTGCTTCCCGTGGTTGGAATGATCGCCTGTGAATTTAATAGTGGCCTGACTGCTGTTGGTTTCAAAGGCTGAAATTGAAGTACAGAATAAAAATTTGTTCGTTATAAACTATATCATAGTTACTGTAATCATGATCTTACATAAAACCACACACCTTCGATTTTTTGTCATTATCTGTAGAACTATCACTTGAATGGTTGTGCATGGTGGAACTTAATGGAGGTGATGGTATAGGCGAAGTACCAGAATTAGTTGAGGTTGGTGTACCTCCAGTCTCATTACTATTGTTACTATCTGTAGTTGCTGATGAGGGAATACCAACTCCAGACAGCTCTACTTCATCAAGACCAATAATATCATCATAAATATATTCATTTTCCTCAAAATCAGGCTCCTGTGAGGATTCGATATAATACTCTACATCATCTTTTATCCTCTTTATCTGTGGAACAAAGAAGATAAAAATTAGATGAAAACTAAATAATTAATAATTAACAATTATACTTATTCAAATTTTTACAATTGTTTATAATTATTTATAATTATTGTATTTTTTGATATCAGTAAATTTGTATCAATAATTAACATATCTTCTTATTAGCAAACTTACAGTATTAACTTCAACAGACATATTGTCCAACATGCGCAACAATGTTTCCAATTTACGGATATGGTAACGATGTTTATCAAGCTTTGCTTTTAATTCATCCATCCTATCCTGCTTATCTTTATCTAACCTTTTCTTCTTTCCTGCGAGTAATGACTCTATCTCGGATTCAAATGTATCCAGCTATATTAAAATTATCAATGCAATATGGTTTTTACAAAGTAATATTTTCAGTTTAAATGTCATTTTATTTATACCTGAAGATTTAAAGCATCTATAGAATTTGCAAGCCAATTACTAACTTCTTCCCGTTCTTTTTGAGCTGGGTCAAGCTTTTGAGCTGCTCCTAATCCTTCTTTTGAATAAGCTTTTGTTTTTGTTTCTCTTTCCACAACTTTAAACCTTTCCATTTGCTAAAATAAAAATATTACATTTAATAAATAATGCATAAATCTTACAATTTTAATTCATTATTGAAGTATACTTACAGTTTCAATTAACTTTCTATATTCAAGAAGTGTACTTTTATCCTTAATTTCACCTGATGCAAGCCAGGTTTTAATTTGATCACGTAACCTCTGAAGTTTTTTGATTTCCTTCTTGAGGTCTGCTTCATACTTCTCCTTCTGATTACTGTTTGTAGCATTATGAACTTTTTGCCAAATATCTTCAAATGTTTCTACACCTTCCGTTACTTTTTTAAGGCACCGATCTATTTCACCTAGAATTTACAATACATATTAGTTAACATAACAAATATAAATGTGTATATATCTATATATATATCTACATGTATATATATCACATATTGCTAATTATATCTATTATTTATCTTAGATAAATTAAATATGAATTAAATTTTTAAAATTCAATACAAAAACAGATTATTTTGTTGAATATTATTATTGTAGTAACAAATTTATCTACATTTGAATTAACATAACAAATAATTTCTTACAACACATTTTACATAGATTACTGATTCTTTTTGATGTATTACATATAATAAAGTGTACTGTGTAATAGCTACTTTAATAATTTATTACATATATGAAACTTAAATACCTTGACTGACCAAATCATAATAGTAATGGGTATAATAAAACATAATCCAAAATAATGAAAATACTTTATTTTTATCTAAGAATTTTTAAAAGATCAAAGGATACAAAACTTGTATTGATTTACAATATAGTTTACTAAGAAATCTATGCTAAAAAGCTTATATCGATGAAAGCTTTACATATGTTACATCTCGCAATACTGTATGTATGTGTTGTGCAAATAAAACATAAAACTATTTTAAAGGTTATGCTGACATAAGGAAGCAGTATTAGACTGCTATAAATACAGTTCACGCAAGAAAAAATAACTTACATTAAAGAAACATATGAAAAGTTGAGTAGAACACACCAGTTCATCATACCCTGGCAACCTGTACCAACTGTCAGGCACAGAAGCTTGCATGCGAGTAGATAACGCGAGTTAAAAATAGGATATTACTGATCATAAATACAAACGTTTAAACTGGCAGAGAACTGCAGAATGCGAAGCAAGAATGAAAGCAAAGTTGTAGTAGTGCAGGGCCATAACAAAATTTCTAAATGTAAACATGCTGGAAACATTTTCTCCTCACCTTGCAACTTTCTCGTCGCAGCCATGGCTATGTAAACATGTGATACAATAATTCATGCATAGTCTAGACGTAATGGAAAAAATACGGAACAATTTTACGGAACAAATAGTCGCTGAACTATTATTCCCTGTATAATATGGGAGGCTCGGCCACAAGATGGCTTCCGTTTTCAAATGACAACGTCCGACCGTCCGTGAATGAGGCGCGTTGATACTAGTTCCGTTTTTCCGTCAATCTTTTAATCTTGATAGTGTAGAATATGCGCTACGTTTGGTCGAAAATCGACAGCACATAAAAATACACAAAAAGTGATAGCATCAACAAATGATATATATGAAATACTGAATAAATGAGATGGTATATTATGCATTGGCGCATTCACACATTCTACCTAACGCACATACCTAACATCTTCGCGTTCATAAACCAATTGAAATTTGGTTGAACCTTTCGACGCGTTTACAATAATTATGATGGGAATATTCTTTTACATATTTTTCAAATTATAGATATAGATACTTTACCTTACCGCTAATCTCAAGAAAGATTATAGATATTCAAGGATATATCGATAAATTGTTTAAATGAAATTTAATTTAAAATTTAATTTAATTTGCTTTTTGTATTTATAACATTTTAAATAATTTTATAATATAATCACTTGTAACGGTTAAAAATATTAATAATGCTATTAAAAGTAATAACAATGTTATTAAAAGCATTAATAATGTTATTAAATAACAATAACTTTTAACGTTATTTTCAGTTTATTCTCTAAACACGTATTAAAGAAATGGTACGAAACTAAATAAACTATCGAAATAATATCTGTTTATTATATTTACAAATATATCTTTATTATATTTATACATTCTTATTGTTTTATAAAGTCATTCAGATCTTTAATAAAATTTCACATTAAAATAACTCATTTTATAGAATCTTATATTCAACACATATGGAATTTGTTTAAATTAAATTAATGAAATGAAATCAATATACGTTGCACTAAAAAGTTCTATTTAAAAAAATGCATTCAAAAAGAAAAATTTATATTACGTAATTAATATTCAATTAAATTCCTGTATACTAAATAAAAACAAAATTTTAATTTTATTATTAAGATATGTAAAGTCATATATTTTCATAAATAAATGCAAATAACAGATGTTAAATTTTTTATTTTAAAATATAATATTTTTAATTATACTAATATTAACGTAATTCGGAATTTATTATAAATAGAATTTGATATGTATGTGTGCATTCTCAATGAGAATAAACAATTATATTACATTACCATTTAATTTTAATGATTGAAACTTTAAATTGTTATTAGAAAATTTGATTATATTACACTTCATAAATATTATTATATCATTTACAATATAATAATTAAAGCTAATTTACATTGCCTCTATGAAAATAAAATAATTTATCTAATAAAAGAAAAAATTCAGAAAATTTTTACATAATTTCAACTGTTAAATATATAAAATGTTACTATATTATTGGCGAATATCTTAACATTATTGATCATGCAGAAAAAATATAAAAATAATTAATAGTCAAATTTATTAAATAACAAAATTCATGTAAAAGGTTCTAAAATATTAAAAATATTTTCTGTTGATATAGAAAAATTTATTACAGAATATAAGATACAGTTATTGATAAATTCATTACGTTTTGTATTTTGTTCGAAATATTCATTACTTTTTTTTTATATTGCGTATGAAAATAAATGAGGTATTAACACATATCGATAAACTTGTTTGTATAACATGTATTTAACAAATATACATTATTAATTTAATTTAAAAATACGATTGTTTTGCATAAAATCTAAGTAGATACATTATTCTATCAATAATTTGTGTATTCAATACGATCAAATATAAGATACAAGTGTAGTATTTAAAAAAATATCATTTATAAATTTTTATACAAAATTTATTTTAAATCAGTTTACTTAGTTGACAATCTAATAAAGATTTAATTGATGTTATATATAAGTATTTGCAAAGAAATAAGTTGAGTTTTAACCAAAATTTAACGCTCCAGGTGGTTGGCACAGGTTAAGAGTCAGAGTGGGGATATCACAGGCACTACGTTGGGCGTATATGAATACGTCCACGAGAGATGCCGTCGTTTCGTGTTTCGAGTTTTTGCACAACAGCCGTGGGCCAAGCAACAACGCACTCGCGCTCAAGTCGGATCACGTTCTCCAAGAAAGATTCGAAGTCCTATACTGATTATTACAGAATCGAATTATTACAGACTCTCTTTCTCTCAATGATTTTGGCCTAACCTCTTCCACCACAAACTACAGTGGAACATGACAAAAGGTGGCATCACTGGGGACGTGTTGGAAGCACGGACGGAGCTGTGCTCATTGATATGACGCCATTTTACTAACCTTTTCGGCGCGGATCGCGACGATCCACTTAAGGTGCTCCACTTCGTATCACTTCAAGAGCGTCCAATTCTGTCGTTTACATTTTACAAACTGTACCCGCTCTTTCGTAATTTCAAGCGATTCGTTCAAGCCGGATTTTACCGGAAGGTATGCAACCCTTGTTGCACTGGGATCATTCTTGTGTGCAACAAAAGCTTACAGCAATACTTTTTTGCTGAAATTTGTTACCACGGCATCCTGGCTCTGTGTGCACTTTCATTCACCTTATTTTGACACTAATTTCATCATAGTAAACTGTTTTTGTGGGAACTTTGGGGCTGAATCACTGTGGAGTGATGGTCACTGCGAAGGGCTTCTTGCATGTCGTACCATGTGCTCAGTTTTATAATACCCTTATCAGAGGTATTATATTAATTGCTTATTACCTTATCCAGTGTAATTTAAACCCAAACTTTAATTTTCTGTGATTTATTATTAACACAATATACAATGTTGTTGATTTGTTTTTTGAGTTGTCTTTAGAGCCCAATCAAACGTTTACTATTTAAATTTTCATTTAATAGTTTGAATCTTGTGTAAGAAGTGATTTTAAATATTTAGTTATTTTTATTGCTAGAATAATATTTTTAAAAGAGTTAAAATTGCTTGATAAGCTAAATGTAACAGGTGGCTTTGTCAATATATCAATCATTATACCAATTATAATACCAATGATATTTTATTTTAGTAAAGCAATGTATTTTTTACTATTTTTATCCCATCTTTAAATTAATATGTATTATTTAAACATTCTATACAATGCTTCATTAATGTGGTAGTTGTTTGTATAATATTTATAATAACATCTTTTACATACATGTAAAAGTTTATGCAGCAGTTATTTTGTGCTCATATATTGTTTTATTAATATAATATTGTTTTTGATAGTTGTTAACATAATATACATTTTAATTATTTAAAAAAGAATTTCTCTATTAAAATATGTTTATATTATCATAAACTTTACATGTTGCAGGTAATATCACTGTAGCCAAGCAGTGCTATTATGGAAGATGAAGATGGTGAAAGTAAAGTTATGGATATGTGGAGCATTTTGGGAAAACAACAACTTAAAGATACTTCTATTGGAAATTCATTAAAAACATCGATTGATAATACATATACCGATGTAATAGAAGAAGAAAAACAGCTATTACAATATAATTCTATTACAACCAAAGATTCACCAAGCAAAAATAACAGTACAGGATCAAAAATTGTGTTTAAAGGTTTTAAGAAACGCATTTTGGCACAAGCTCAAGAAACACAAACAAATACATTAAAAAGTGTAGTGCACGAACAACAATCACCACATTCTAATGCATCATCTAAAAGTAGTAAGGAAAAAGGGGCAGAGATTAAGCGAGGAAAAATAACAGAATATGCACAATATCTGGGCCTTCAACCATCTTCAAAAAATAAGTGTTCAAAGTGTCAATCATCATCAAGTTTGTGTTCTACATTGAAACAAAGTTCGTGTACTTGCAATTCCACAATGACACCAATGCCCAGCACATCAGAATCATCTACAGTGCCACATTCTCCTAATTTTAAAATTACAAGAAAAGTTTATCTTTGTGCAGCATGTGGTACATACTTTGAAAATTGGAATTTATTTTTACATATGAGAGATATACATAAACGACATATATGTTTATTTTGTCTTGGAATGTTTGGGCAAGCTGAAAGGTTGTCACATCATTTAACAAAAAAACATAGTGTTCCAGAAATGGCGTTTACTTCTGTTGAAGATTTTTATGGTGCTTTCAAAGGATCGTGTTATTTAGTTTGTTGCACATGTGAGAAAGTTTTTTCAGAAACGGATAATTTTTATAATCATTTTTGTTCATCAGCGTCTAAACAAGATGTTACTGCATCCATATGCACATTATGTAGACAAACAGGTTCACATGCAAGTACATGCAGTTTAGCTGTTGAATCCAATAAAGAAATAAATTCTGCTTTACCATCTACTACGCAAACAGGGGTAATATCAACTAATATACTTGATAAAAGTGTAAATAGTGAAAATAAGACTGTTCCAAGAAAATCAATAAAAAATAATAGGTCTAAACATATGGAAGATGGTGTGTCAAATCAACAAAAAGTAAATATTCAGACAAAAAAGACCAATAATAAAGTTGCTGTATCTCAGCCAAATGAAAGTCAAGTATTTGATGAAACATTAAATAGGGATGAGAATTCTCAGAACATAGTAACACATAATATAGTTAAAGATACTGTTTCAGAGACAATAATGGAAGTCTCAAAGTATATTGAAGATTCTTATGAGGGAAAGAAAGAAACAAATGAAAAGGAGATTTGTCAAAATAATTTGGAACTAAATTCAATTGATTCACCGAGCCATAATATGCCATATGATAGTGTAACAGAAACTATTATGGAAGTATCACGATGTACAAATAACGTAGAAGACTTTGATGATAAAAGTAAGAAAGAGAATGTAGATATAGTTGATACATTGAATGTGTCTGATAAATCAGAAGTGGATTCTGATGAAATAGTTAAACCTGATACAAAAACTTCAGACTCACTTGAAGAAGCTGGCATTAAAACAGATGATCTTAATTCTGTAAATCAAGAAACAGAAGAAGATGTAATTAGAGATAAAACAGGAGAAACCATATTAGAGGCAGATGACTCTCATTCTCGCATATCTGAAAGTCCTGCACATAGTCCTGTTAGTCGATCATTATTTAGCCCACAACATGAATCACACGTATCTGATCTCCAGTCCAAAGAAAAGTCGTATGAAAATGATAACAAAGAAAATTTTGATGTACCTAACGAATCTCAGTCTTCAGTATCATTCAATACCAGTGAAACTTCTGATAGAAGTTTAGTTATAAAAATATGTACCAATAGGAATTCTCAGTTTTCTGTTGCAACTAATAGTGATAGTGTAGAAAATGACGTCGATAAGAAATCTGAAGAAAATAATAACGCAGAAAGTTCATCATTGACGGAAGAAAAAGAATCGAACATTTTTGAAGGGGAAAGAGACAATAGTAACAATTATCAAGTGAACGACGAAGACAGTGATTCTGATAGTTTCAAATTAGCAGTTGTAGATAGCAACCCTGAAGAAATCGAAGAAGTAGAAGAAAGTAATGAACATAAAACAGTGACAGAAGTTGAAAGCGAATCAGGTGCAGATATAGAACAAAACGAAAATCAGGCTGAAATCTCTGATGAAAAAGCAGTTAACATAGATACAAATGAAAAACAGGTTGAAGAAACAGTAGATGACAATGAAAACCAGATGGAGGATACTGCACAGTCTGAAATGCAGCCAAGCGACGAAATAATATTGGCTGGAGAGGATGTTCCTTGCATTGATCTTAACGTTGATGGTACTTTAGATAGTATAGAGATAGAAGATTTATTAAAACGTTGTATAGAAGCAGCCAGTCCTTTCTGTGTTTATTGTAATCATGCACGTCATATAGCAGTGAATGGTAAACAGCTAGGTTTACATATGCTCGCAGAACATAAATTTCAACCTCAGCATCCTGCCATAATTATTCAACCAGAACAATTTATTATTAGAGTGAAAAAGTCTCTCGATGAATTAGATTCTCATTTCTTTAATTTAGATTCTTACAGTAGTACAAATGGTACATACAATGTTCCAAGTGTAAGAACATATGAATGCTTTCATTGTAGATTTCATTCTGCCATACATAAAGAACTTTATCTACATAACCGAAAGATGCATCAAAACACAACTTTAATTTGTATAATGTGCAAATCCACTTTTTATAGTTATAGCGAATTACTTTGTCATTTGTGCCCTGGAACATACTCTCCAAATATTAACGTCAAATACAGATGTTGTCTTTGCCCCATGGCAAACTTGCCATCTGCATTTAGATTAATGGTACATCTACGTAAAAGGCACCATGCATGCGATGTTTGCTTAGAATCTACAGGAAATCAACAACGTCTTTCAAATCATGTTTGGAAACATAAACTTCATCATCTATGCTACAGATGTGGCATTGCATACAGAAACAAACCAGATATTACAAAACATTTATTTTGGAAACATGGAACAGAAAGTGTACTATGCAAAAAGTGTTTACAGAAAAAGTGGCCACATATTTATCACTTTTGTATACCACCCACAGCTTTTGTTTGCGAAGAATGTGGTTCTAGTTTTTCACGTGCTGTTGCTTTGAAAGTACATAAAAGGTTACATTCCGGGGATCATCCGTATGCTTGTAGCGAATGCCCCGAGCGTTTCATTTCTCGAAAACTGTTAGCCAAGCATGATAATGCCCATAAAGAACCTCCACCAGTTAGCACAAATTTGTCAGATACAATGAATCAACAACCGGTGATTAGCGAAGAAAAATTAGACAAAGAAAAAGTAGGTGTAACCGATAGCAACACAACTGCTTCTGAATCAGGAAAAGAAACTAAAGAACCTGTGAAAAAGGTCGTTGATGTTTATGACTTGCCACCTTTGAATTTATCCTCTGAAAGTGACACAGATACCGAAGAAGAAAAGCCAGAGAGCAAGGAAGCTGAAAACCCTGAAAAAGTTAAATCAACCGAGGAAAATGCAACTTCTCCTGTGGATCAATCAAAATCCGTTTCTTCTGAACCTGTCGCAGATAGCATAGTCGAAGTTGAACAGAACGAAGAAGAGAAAGAACAAGGAGCACAAATCATGGATGGTATCTGGGATAATTTTAAAACGTATACTGCTAGTTTAGAAATGAAAGACCCAGCTAATAATTTTGCAATCAAAGAACCAGAGCCAGAAACTGATGTAGCCTTCCTAAGGAGTATAGTCTTGGCTGACCATGATTATTGCGTTGTATGGTCAGAGAAAGAAAAAGAAAAGGAGAAGGAAAACGAAAAAGAAACAGAAAAGGAGAAAGAAAAAGATAAAGATACAGATAAAGATACAGAGGCAAAAGTAAACGATAAAGAAGAGGCAAACTCGAGTGGGGACCAAGATTATTTAAACAAGCCACAAAAAAGTCCGTTGGATGGTAATGAAATTCAAAATACCACCGAAGAAGATCCAAACAAGAAGAAAGTAAAAAGTCCGAAGAAAAAGAAACAAGGTGGAAGTACTTCGTCAAGCGATTCATCTAGTGACAGTGATTCGAGCAGTTGTTCTTGTGGAACAAACTGTAGCTGCAGCAGTTCATCATCCGGCAGTTCGTCTAGTTCTAGTAGTAGTTCTGACTCGGATAGCTCGACTTCGGAAGGATCTCCAAAGAAACAATCAAATCGCAAGGATCGGAAAAAAGACAAAGAAAGTGCGCAGGAACCGGAGGCTGGATGCACAGAGCTTGAGAATAAAGAGATGAAAAATGGGTCGGGAACAGTTCCGACGGAGCCGATCTGTCGGCCACAACTTTTACTCAAAGAATCCGACTTAGAAACCGAGGAAACGGAGACGGACGAGGACTTTTACGACGAACATCCACAGCAACTGGCGAACAAGTTGCTCGCGGAGAAACGAAATCACTTGATGTTTCTAGCTGCAGTTGCTCCAGCGTCCACAGAATCAACGATGCCATTGAATAATGGCCTAACGGACACGGATACCGCGGTCCCTTCTCCAGATCTGATACCCGCAACAACGGAAGAGGATCAATCGCAACAGAAAAAGAAAGTGAAAACAAAAAAACGAAAGAAAGGGGAGAGAGTGAAGCAGCGTAACGTGACGCCAACCGTCGAGTCCATTAAACTAAACATTCCTAAAGCGTTTTACCAAAAGAACCCGGGTTATTCGGCTTCGTCGCCAGCATTGATGCAATCGAATATGGCGCTAACGTCGAATATGTCTACGAACGATGCGCACGCAATGAATGCGGGAATTGAGTCCCAAGCTATGGGTATAACGGGTCAAAATATCGGTGGCAGTGGTTCGGAAGCGGAAAGTAAACGATCGTCGAAACGGAAACGAGTACCGAAACGATTCTATGGCGACTCCAGCGACGACGAGGTGGAGAAGCAGCCGACGGTAAAGTGGAGAAAGGTAGAGACGCCATCTTTCACGACAGTGCCAAGTGTGAAGTCAGCGCCACCAAGGTTGCCTTTTGGCGGAAAGAACATGGCGTATAGATCGATGGAGAGTCAATCGGAAAATCTGGGAATCGCTACAGCTTCTGCGACCGAATCGGAAGAACCCGCAGACAGTAGCAGTGATTCCAGTGATTCCGAGGTAGAAGCCAGTCAACAGATGGAGACGCATTTTGCGGAAGGTAATCCACCAGCGCCGGAACGGCCTGTTAATTTGTATTGCTACTGTCAGTGTCCGTACGACGAAGTGTCGGAGATGATAGCCTGTGACGCCGAGGATTGTCGCATCGAATGGTTTCACTTCGAGTGCGTCGGTATTATGGTACCGCCAAAGGGCAAGTGGTATTGTCCAGACTGTCGAAAGAAACACGGTATCGTGCAAAATAGCGATGATTACTTCGACTGATAGCAGCGGATGGTGTCTGCGTGTTGAAATTTCTGTCTAGGCATATTTGAGAATGGGTGTTCAATCTCTCTCTCTCTCTCTCTCTCTCTCTCTCTCTCTCTCTCTCTCTCTCTCTCTCTCTTCCTCTTATTCTTATCCTTACTCTTTCCATCTATCTAATTTATCTATATCCTTCTCTGTCGATTAAAAATTTTCTTACCTAACGAGTCATTTTTTCGTAGGAAAATGGGAATAGTATCTGCATTGATTACAACAATATGTTGTAAAGAATTGTGATTGTTATTAATATTTGACTATTATAACGTTCTAATACAAAGAAGGAAAATTGAAAGTGTTCTGAAAAATTAATTACATTTATGCTTTTATTGATGATCATTTCCTTTTCTTTTTTTTTTTAACTTTCTGTACTTGACACTTCTATCTATTAATCATAATTTTTTGTGATCCTTCGTTGTTATTAAATGTTGTAAGACTTAACATATTTGAGGAAACAAATTTTCCTAGTAATTATAGTTATTGGTTTAAGTTGTTCTACAAATATTTATTTCGAATTAAAGGTCTAGAATTACTTTTGACGTCATTCAAATGCGGAGATCTTTCAAGATTTTAAGAATTTCAAGTGACTTAATTATTTTAGTAAATGTCAAGTATCTTTTCACGTTAAATTTCTTACATTTCCATTTCGACTTAATGTTAATTGCATTAACATTACATCTTAGCTACGACTTTGTATGTGCATACAAAAATAATCTTAACGTAGATTAGATAACTCCTTGCTGTTTTATGTACCTTTGTCGTTCTCGAGTCTCTTGAAAAAAAAAAAAAAAAAAAAGGGGAAAAAAGCATTTCTGAATAATTTTCCAAAACACTTGTACACTTATCGTTATAATTGAAATTGATCGATGCCAATTAGTCGTTAAAAAAGAATTTGCAATCGATTCTCGAACGTTTGCGGGTAATTTTAATTTTAACCATCGTCGTTTACATTGAAAGACGAATCGACAGGAAATTATGGCTGAAGAGAGAGAGAGAATTGAGCGGCCATCGCTATTCCCAGCGTTTTCTTTCATTCTTCTTCGTAAACAAACGAATCGTACACTGTTCCACGTTGATATTTTTCTTAAGCCGATACAATAATGAAAAGAAAAAAAAAAAATGAATGTTTGTATATAAATGTAAATACGCCTTAGGGTTTATAACAATGAAGTAAGGTTTTTTGTGTACATTTGTTTGTACTTCTTTTAAATGACAAAAAGTGCGCGGTGTATAAATTTAGTGTTAGCCGATAGGCAAGTATAGCGTTCTAGAGCGAAATTCTAGGCTACGTCGTAGAGCGAGAATTCTTCAAGCCTAGCGCGAGAGGGGAGGGCTGTGTTTTCATCAATTCGAAATCGCGATGTCGCGGCTGATATGACTGTCGGCACTGCTGGCGGTGTCTGTGCCCCCATTAGGTGATCGCATTTTTTTTCGACAACCACCATTCTATTTCTAATCGTCTCGAGATACGTGTAACATATTTCGTGCATTATATATTTACACCGTTCTCGTTCGGATTATGATTTCGTCCCCCCTTTTTCCCCCCCTTCAGTTCGTTCCTTTCATTTTTATCTTTTTTTCTCTTTTTCTTTTCTTTTTCTCCTCTCTTTTTTAATCGCTTGAATTTCCCAAATTTTGTAGAACTACACGCGTTAAGACTTCCATTCCTTTCTCCCCACTACTCATTTCTTTCCTCTTTAATATCGTATATCGTGGAAAGCGTCGCTTCCATGATAGAGTTTCCATCGTTTCGTTAGTGCTTCGCGTTTTAGAGTAATCGACGAGTTAACGAGCGGATCTTTTATCGTTTTCTAGTCTAGTTCTTGTTCTATGTAAACAGCTCTTCTGCCGACAAACACATTCAGGATGATTGTACAGCATTGTAGCACTGTATCGAGGTCAGTTACCGGATTTGTACCGAGCGCTTCAAATTAATTTCTCCCTTCCACCGTTCTCTTTTCTTTTGTTTTATTTATTCTTATCTTTTTTCTCTTTTTTTGCGCGTAATACATTACGATCTATCTAAATCTATTAGGATGACTGCAAGCGTGCGATAAAATGCGAGCGAGAAATTGGCGCGTCGAATATAATCAGATAGAAGAGAAGTTTCGTTTGTAAAAAGAATTATCGTTTATTTCTTTCGTATTTGGCTATCGAGCTCGTCTATTTATTATTAATCATGTAAAAAGTTATTACATTTTCCACGCATAATCGGCGGAAACGTTCGTCAAGGCCATAATCAAAATCCAAAAATTAAAAAAAGAGAAAAAAAAGAGAAAAAGAAAGAAGATGAGGAAAATGAAAATAACCGCGAAGGTGAAGGTCGCAGGAAAAAGATCGTGTCCCCTTTTAACGGACTGAACTCACCTTTGCCATCAACGTAATACCCTCTTGCCGATCTGATCGTTAAATGAAATTTCGTAACTGAGTCTGTCAGTCGCTGAAACATTGATTTTCTTTTTAACGCTTTAAGCAACAAACATGGATAAATACGTTAGTGTTCGTACATGTTTAATAGAACTCGCAGTACATTATAATGATAATAATATTAGTATGATAATAATAATCAACGTTAATGTGCCAGCAATGCAAATAATGACACAAATAAATTAATCATCGTCAGCCCTCGTTTCCTCCGGCAATTCAATACCCATGATGTCCGTGGTGAAATCTTTGTAAGATATCCTCTGTATTATAAAATAATAATACATTACTTTCGGCGAGCCTAAATGATTACTTTCCTTTTTTTCACCGTTAGTATACCGATTTATTCAACTTTCGGTATTTCGATATTTCGATATTTCACTAGTTGTATCAGCTATCGACGATTGTGCCGGTAATTATGAAAATAATAATATGAAAGTGATTATGAAAAACTGTCGTATATTTCGTTTCGAAATATTACGGAATTGATATAAAATATAAAGATCGATGAAAGATAATAATAACGCGATGTTCAATAATGCAATGTACAAAAATAATCACCAGAAAGCGTACAAACTCGACTTAACGATTTAGCGTTTTGTTATTTTGCAAAAAATGCTTTTATTTTACTTCGATAAATACGAATACGATACAAAATAAGCGATAAGATAATTTCCTTCAGATCTTTTACTTAGACCGTTTTCGTAATTACCGGCACGATTATATAATACTTGTTCAGTATTTGCACGTAGGGTTTTTTGTCGAGGTTACTTATTTAAAAAAAAGAAAAAAAAAAAAACAAGAAAAAAATATCGAGCTCAAATATTTGTTATCTAATTATCGAACGTTGATTAAATTTTGTATCGAGAGGTTCATGTGGGAAAAGAATAGAAATAACGGCTGAGTTAATCCAGGAAATAAATATAAAAAAAAAAAAATTGTAATTTATGTATCATAATGCAATACGTTTTCACTCTATCTATCATCAACTTTTAAATCTTCCTTCCTACACAGATGTAAATATTAATGAAACGTATGTTCGTGTGAAGTCCATTGGCTTTGTATATTCATCAGTTTTTCTTAATAAAAAAAGAAAACAATATTAAATATCATCTTTTCATGTGAAAAGACACGTTGTTATGTTAACGTTAGTAATTTTCCTTCCTATTTTACTTTTTCACTTTGTAATGTACATTGAAGCATCGACGCTAAGGTATAACAATATGCCAATGGCTAATAAAGTGTTCTATTTATAAAAAAGGCATTTAAATATTTATGAAATTATAACGTTCCAAATCGATTAAAAACAATTCCTATCATTTTCAAGTTGTATGAAAATATTCGCTAATCTAAAGAAAACTGTTGCTATAAAAATGAAAATGAAACGCAAAATAAAATTTTCGACGAAAATGTCGAAATAGATTTTTATAAATAATAGTTTAGATTCTTGATGGTCTGATTGATGATTTAGTTAAACTATGAGTAGTAAATAAATTTAATATTATTTACAAATAATATAATTTTTTATAGCAGCGATTTTCAAAAATTATGCTACGACATACTGATGTATCGTGATAATTTTCGGATATGAGATGAGAAATTTTAACATTCGAATAGTGGATCATCAAGTGTGAATACCTATATACACTCAATTCAGTTTTTACACGATAGATACGTTCCTGACAAAAAGAATCCCGTAAAAAATATATTGTAGCTATGAAAAAATGGAAGATTCGTTAGAGACTTAAAAAAATTAGCAAAATAATACAATAATCCATATGAAAATTCATATTAGAATCTTATTATTTTTATTTACTTGCATTTTTCGTTTTATGAAGAATGCATGTGTATATAAAAATGTATTACACGAAGTAAATTATTATTCGAAAAAGGGAAAAAATGTTATTATTTCGCAAAAATTATACGCAACAAGATTTTATTCGATGTTGTCGAGATTATTATACAACTTTTTTGTAGCTTACATGAAGTTTCCTTTTTACAATTTAAACCGGTCGTGCTAAATCAAAATCAAAATAAATCGTGAGAAAGAACGAAATTTCTTTCCCAATTCTTGTTAAATCAAAATCGTGTAAAAAAAGAATCGAGTATAAAAACAAATTTTTTTTTTATTTTGGTTCTATTGTTACAAGACATAAAATGAATGATAATAGTAAGTAATAGAAATAAAAAATAATATGAACACAGAAAAAGAATGTTTATTGTAATTATGCACAAAGCTCTTTGTGTTATGGCATAGAATTTTTGTAATTGGCTTACGTATGTCGTGAAATGAGAAAACTAGAAAATCACTGTTTTATAACATTTTTAGATTGGACCTATTGTTAGATTAAAAATTTAACTCTTGCAATTGGAAAGAATTTTGAGTTTTAGTAAAGTAGGTACTGTTTTTGTTCCATTTGTATGTGTTCACGTATTTCATATTTATTTTATTATAAAATTAACTTTTTAAATATTTTTTTTTTAAATATCAATAGAATTAAGAAACTTAAAATGATTTATTAACAAAAATAAAATTAATTTCTCTGCTAATAAATATTATTATTTATAACATTTAAAGGAATATTTTTGCACTTTAAAAATGATAAGATATTAATTTTTAATCATTATTTTTCAATGATAAAAAGTATATATAAAGGAACTAAACGAAGACTCTAGTTTAATATTAAAAATTATTGGTTTTTGAATCATGATATATGAATATTTTGAATTTATTAATATAAATTTTATGCACATAAATTCTTTGAACTATCTGAAATGACTTTTTTTTAGTATTTCTAATATTTAATTGATCTTTTAATTCGTGCATTTTAGTTTCATAAACAAATTGCTTTATTTATGTTATAAAGGGTGGACCAACATCTTAAACCACATTGAATATCAACGTTAGTTTTAGAAATATAGAAAAGCTTTCTATGTAAAAGTTGTATAGTACAGAAAGGTTTATATCATGCAAGTTATAATTTTTGTTATAAGTAGAGGACTCCTGAAGGTTTCAAGATTACCTTTAATTGTTTTAAATGATACATTATAATTCTCTATATCTACTCAGCATTGACAAAAGAAAAAAGATTAAAAAGATCTATAATCAGCAGGTTTGTTGTAATCGCCTGAATCGAAATAATTATTTTACGTTGGAAATTGCCAAAATTACGAACACTTAAATTAAAGATTCTAAAATATTTTATACTTTTTCGCAACCTTTTAATAAAAAAAAAAAAAAAATGAATTTACTATAAAAATATGATTTTGCTTTCAGCGAGTGCTACTATTATGTGGAACATCGTGCAAAAATTTTACAGCAATCGAGCATTTGAAATCGACTTTTTAAAATTTTACCTACGCCAATGGAAAAAATTATATTTCGAGGAAAATGCATTTAAAATCGTTACTTACGATGCTAATCGATTCCAGTAGCACTAAATATATATACTTCTAAAAAATGAAATAAAAAATAAATCGACTTTTTTTAAAAATCTCTCATAAGAATAATACCTTAAAAAGATTAAGGTGACCTTGAAATCTTCGAAAGCTCTCCACTTGTAAAACAATAAAAATATTTCTCCATATCTCCAAAGATAACAAATATAGTAATAAATATACCTCTGGTAAGAATGAAAATTCAATGGACATCGATTTCTGTCGATCATGTTGATTATACGTTTGGTCTACGTTCTCGTCGATACCGGCAAGTAACTTCATGTACGTAAATGCTTCGTGAACAGTTAGTGGTTCACCTAGAAAAAATTCTTTCAAGTTGAACTAAATATTTACGGAAAATAACGATAAAACACTGATTATGCCACAGTCAGAATGAGATCAGTCAGTGAAGAAACACAAAGCGCTCACGTGACAGTCACGTGACATTCGCGTGATCGATGCTACGGTTGCACTTATTGGCTGCGAAACTAATAAAAACTAACCAAATGGTATACCATCTTGCATCAAAAACGTATGTGGACCTTCCCCAAATAATATTCTCATAAACTGGTCTCGAGATAGGGCTGGATTTTCCACGTCTAAGACTGGAATTTGATCTGGGTTCGTAAAGAATCGAAAGGCATCTTTTATTTCTTGCAGAGATATCCCAAAAGCCGGACGATGATTTAAATAAAGCTTCACGAAATCTTCGAATTTGATTTCTTCGACCAAGTAACCGGTCTCAGCATAATTTTTATACGAGATCTCACCCATAAGAATTTCTATCTGAAATGTTAGATGGATATAAGTTAATAGCAAATAGACGATTATGTCGAGAGATAAGCTGTTTGTGCTCGAAAGAAGATAACGAATAATAGGATAGTTAGGTAACAGGAATTACTTCTTCGTTGCTAGGGTAGTATCCAACAGCGCGCATGAGGTTTGGTATTTCCTTGGTGCTCACTGTCTCAGATAATACTCTGGGACCTGTCATATTCTCACCCTGATGCAAGATTTGAGCATAATAAAACATATCTTTCATTTCATTGATAAGCCAACCGTTCCTTCCACCCTCTAATAAGCAATAATATGGCGCGATTCCTCTACCACCCAAGTGGGCTAATACTTCAACAGACCTGACAGCAAATAGTATTAAGAAGTGATATTAAACACGTCGACTAATTGTAAAATAATATTAGGTCATCCCCGTAAGTTCGTGCCGTGGTATTACTTACGTTTCACACGTCGCGTTTTATAAACATGGGGCGATAAACCGAGTAGAATAACTAAGATGACATTGTTCTGTTCAGTCGAAAGAAGACTTTCGAGAGCAAGAGGTCGGAGAATCAGAAGTATTTTATATTTTACACCGTGTGAAATGCGAATACATTTTCGGCATTCGATGTCGTAGGGTTCCGAAAAGGAAACACGGCAAAAATTGCTTGCACGCAATAAAAAGGGTCGTTTTTTGAAATGCATGGTGAATGGAGATGAAAAGTGGATTTTATCTAATAATTACCCTCAAAAAACGAAATTCGCGTGCACGAGAAGAATAAAGAATCGCAACGCGTTGAAGAGCAGGTTTACACTCTCGCAAGGTTTTCTTTTCCTTATGGTGGGATTATCACGGAGTTTCGTTTTGTGAGTTATTACCGAATGTTACGGATCCAATCTTATGGCTCAGTTCGTTGTTGCAGGCACGGGTGTTGGGTTGTAAGGCCAACGTGTGCAATAGACGGGCGTAAAGGACCAAATGATTCGGCAGGCTTCCGCTCGTAGGTCCAATGTTTGGAGGTTGTCACACGATGCTGAGTTGAATGTGCCCCATTTGATTTTATAGTAGATAGTAAATCCACGGGACTGATTATCCACAAAGCTTGTGTACTGGTTAATTGATGCAGCCTGGCTGTGTAGACTGCGTGTTGTGACTGTTTGATGTTGACTGACGAACTTGCTGATGGATACTGATTGAATGCTTGATGAGTACTGAACTAACTGACTGTGTGATGGATACTGAAGAACTAACTGTGCGATGCACGATCTTTCGAAGCCAAGGATTAGTAAAAATGGAAATCGATTTTCTCATTGGTGGTTGGCAGAACCGAGGGTGGGCCCTTGGTCCGCGAATCAGTTGCCCCCAAAGAAAGGAGGAACGTCTTCCGCGACCAGGTCTGCTGGTGGAGGAAACCTCTCACTCAAAGGGGGTTCCTGGTGGGCCACCCGCACATTCGTGACCCTTCTTGAAGTGCCCGTTACTTTATGGCTTCGAAAATCGTGACATCGCACATGGCCTGGTCCTTTCTTTTGCAAGCCTATTGTCAACCAAATCCTAAGTACTGTTGCCTGCTTTCTAAATCAATGGCTAAAGAATGTCTCGTGTCCGGTGACCGAAGGAAAATAAAGAATTATTTGTAAAATATATTGAAAATGAAGAAAATAGAAGACACGAAACTTGAAGTAAAACAGCTATTAGAATCTGGCTGCCAGAAGACCGTAACGGGTCTTTTGGGTCTGGGGTTTGTCCTAAGATGGGACAACGCGTGCGACTTAACAATTCTGAACACCGAATAATCGGACAATTAATGTCAACATTTACCGTACTCGGTTAGAAAAATTAAAAGAAAATATAGCAGAAACGTATGAAACTTTTAAATCGAGACAATGTCATCTTTCATCGCAATAACGCCAGGCCATGTGTGGTAAAAGGTATACAATAAAAATTAAGCGAAATCGGCTGGGAAGTTTTAATACATCCACCTATTTCGTTCTTTATAATATTTTTTAGCAAGAGAAGAAAAAATGACTTTGAAAGATATTTTAATCGAAATCCAAAGAAATTTTATAGTGACAGGATCATGTCGTAGCCAACAAAATGGGAAGAAGTTCTAGAATGAAAGGACGACTACGTTTCTTCTTAGTATTTAAAGGTATATTCGATATACAGGGTGTTCCAGCAACGGTACTACAACCAGTTAGGGGGTGATTCTACATGTAGAAACGAATCGAAAAGGAAGAATAAAATTTTTTGATTCGAAGCTTCGTTTTCGAGAAAATTGACTTTGAATATTCACCGAGTGCACGTGCAGTTAGTTATGGCTTATATGAACAAACCGTCGGTACATGAGTATCGGTGAAATAATCGAGGAGGAGCTGATTCTACGTAAAAAAACAAATAAAAAATAAACAATAAAATTTTTTGATTCGAAGCTTCGTTATCGAGAAAATCGACTTTGAATATTCACCGAGTGCGCTGGTATACCGATGGATCATCCATTTTAACCAAAGTATCGGTACATGAGTATCGGTGATATAATCGAGGAGGAGCTGATTCTACGTGAAAAAGCAAATCGAAAATAAAGAATAAAATTTTTTGATTCGAAGCTTCGTTATCGAGAAAATTGACTTTGAATATTCACCGAGTGCGCTGGTATACCGATGGACCATCCATTTTAACCAAAGTATCGGTACATGAGTATCGGTGAAATAATCGAGATGTTCTTTATAATATTTTTTAGCAAGAGAAGAAAAAATGACTTTGAAAGATATTTTAATCGAAATCCAAAGAAATTTTATAGTGACAGGATCATGTCGTAGCCAACAAAATGGGAAGAAGTTCTAGAATGAAAGGACGACTACGTTTCTTCTTAGTATTTAAAGGTATATTCGATATACAGGGTGTTCCAGCAACGGTACTACAACCAGTTAGGGGGTGATTCTACATGTAGAAACGAATCGAAAAGGAAGAATAAAATTTTTTGATTCGAAGCTTCGTTTTCGAGAAAATTGACTTTGAATATTCACCGAGTGCACGTGCAGTTAGTTATGGCTTATATGAACAAACCGTCGGTACATGAGTATCGGTGAAATAATCGAGGAGGAGCTGATTCTACGTAAAAAAACAAATAAAAAATAAACAATAAAATTTTTTGATTCGAAGCTTCGTTATCGAGAAAATCGACTTTGAATATTCACCGAGTGCACTGGTATATCGATGGTCCATCCATTTTAACCATAGTTGGTGCACGCGTACGTCGGTGAATATTCAAAGTCGATTTTCTTGGCAACGAAGCTTCGAATGAAAAGATTTTATTTTTTATTTTCGATTTGTTTTTTCATGTGGAATCACCTCCTCCCCGATTGTACCATCGATACTCATGTGTCGACGGTCTATTCGTATGAACCATAATTAAATGCACCCGCATTCGGTGGATATTCATAGTCGATTTTCTCGAAAACGAAACTTCAAATAAAAAAATTTGTTTATTTTTTTATTTATTTTTATAGAATTACCACCTCCTCGGCTGTATCACCGACGCTGATGTATCGATGGTGCATCCATCTAAGATTTAAGTGCATGTGTATTCGCTGAATATTGAAAGTCGATATTTCCGAAAATAAAGCTTTGAATAAAAAAATTGTATTCTTTATTTTTGGATTTGGATGTAGAATCACCTCCTTACCGGTTGTACTACCGTTTCTGGAACACCCTGTATAATTCGAAATAGTAGAGTGAAGATCGGCACGAACTTTTGGGATGACCTAGTATTTGATTTTTATCTGTCACTGAAACATACCTGCTTTTTATTTTCCATATTAGTATACATGAATCATTGTAACCGGAAGTAAATAAGAGGTTTCCGTCATAGCTAATGCAGATGTCAGTGATCTATCAAAATTAAACTTCTATAGATCGTGGCTTTTTATATTATTCTTAAAATATAAAATCTTTTAAGGCTTCTTCTTATATGTTATCCATGAAATTTGAAATGTTAAAATATTTTGAATTTCAAAATTGTCAGAAATTTGAAAATAGGTCAAAACCAATTTTATTAAAGCCTTGTGGCTAATATTAGTTTCAATTAATAGATATACGTAAAGAGTTTGAGAAAAGAAAAATTTACTGAAATAATTCTGTGTTAAAGTATTTTGGTAATTTTCATTAGACGACTTCAGTTTTGATCGCGTCGAATTTGTAAAATTCTTTTTACCATTAGATAATATAGGTTTTCACAGTCGCAACCTTGGTCCGCTCGTAAACGAATTTTACGCTAAAACGGAAACGTTTCTAGTAACAACCCAAATGCAAAATGTAATACAAAATCTGAACACCAAGATCAAAATAAATTTTTTTAATAAACTTTACTGTCATCTAAAAGAATTTATCGTTACATAATCGCCAATAATCCATAAAGCTAATGTGACTTAAAATATAATAGTACGAAAAATTTGTTTTCAATAGTTAATCTATATTCTGGTTAACTTTGAATTGTTTCTGTGTAGTTCAGTTAATCAGTTTTTAACGTGTCATCGAGGTTCTCAGTGAAAGGTGATCATGATGGCAAATATTTCGTAGTGTAACTTCTTATTTTAATACAAAGAAACAATAGAAAGCAATAGAATTTTCATTATTCTAAATACAGAATGACAAAATAGTAAAAAACCTATTTATAGTATTTAATTGCTTGTGTTGTTCAAAATTTTTTAGTCTATAATATTTATTTTATTTTCATCTAAATTCATTCTAATCAACAGTAGCATTTTGTTCATCTATGATTGTTCAAATAGAAAATAAGTTTTAGTCTCAAATGACTAACGTGGCAGTTAAGGTATTAAAAATCAAACAAATATCAAACACAAATTCGTTGTGATATTGCAAAGTGACTTCTAGCTTTGTCAGCCCACTTTCGGTACCCATATTTATATAACGATAAACCTATGTCTAAACCTGAGTCCTAAGCTCTAAATCTGGAAAGTGAGAGTAGGAGATCCACGTGATAAGGCTCTTTTACTTCGGGCCTCGTAAAGAATACGGGAGAAACGAATTTTGATGTCAGATATCTTAACTGGGAATTCACTGAAAATCTGCCAAAGAAACGGTAACATAAAGAAAGGGAAATGTAGCAAGGTAAGATGTTCAAGGACTTAACAGGGGTCTGATCTGAGATATGAAAGAGGAATGTTAAAAGAGAACGATAGTGGCGCCACGACGACAAAAGAGTTTATTATTATCTTTCTCTAGTTATAATTACTTTTACTTGAAAATATGTATCTGACAGTTAGGTGATTTTGTTAATAATGATTTGATCTAGTCTGAATGAGTATTATAATATTTCATAATATAAACTGGATGTCATAAATGCAGCTCTTTGTATTTACTGCAAACAAATTTATATTTTAGTATGATGTAATACAAATTTATTATTTATCTAATTTACTTATATATAGGTTGCAGTATACATTAGGGTACAGTTGTATGTCATCTCGTATTTAATGTCAGATCTTGACCCTAATATTGTAGAATATTTTTGTAGAATACTGGTGTTGATAAATATAGTTGGTTATTTTTAGAATTGACTGATTAGAACTAATAGCGATAATAAGACTTCGATAAAAGTAGTTTTGACTTAGGTCGGGTAACATACGAAATGTTCTATAATTAGTGTTACTGGTTTTATATAAAATTTTATATGAAAAATAATTTGTGAATATAAAATCAAATTTTTTTATACCTGATATTCTTTTTGAGAAAATTGATTTTAAACATTTAACTAACAGTAAGATGGGTATATCTACCTATGTCTCGATGTAACAAATACTCTATAGAGTAATGGAGAATATTCAATAAAACAGGATATTTGTAGTAATTAATTTTAATTAAATATTTTTAATTTTTGAAAATTTTTTTATTCTATTGAATACACGATTCTGCTTCGCATATTAAATTTCTATGAACATTAGCAGTGTATTTTTATGTTTTATTTTATTAAATATTAAAACTCTACCTATTTAATCATTTAATGTTTGTACCGATATAAAATCTAAAAAAGGCAGAAATATTAGTTTACCGCAACAATTGCCAACTTATATACGTACCACTAGTGGTATATAGAATATTCCTAGGTGATATGTAGATTAAATCAAACTATATCATATTTTTAAATTATTAACAGCAAGGTATATTAAAATAAATAAACACCATCTAAAAAACATGGTTCGTGACTTGATCACATATTGGTTGAGTGATACGCGAGGAAACAAATTTGAGAACCACTAGCGCAAAGCGAAATCTGTTGACATACTAGTAAGCGCATGCGTAATAGCTAAATATGTATTTAAACGCAATCTTTTCGAAAATGAAATTTAAATGAAATAAAATTCATTTCATATTTTGAATTTAATTTTTCATGCAGATTTACTTTCTTTTGCTTATATCACCAAATATAAGACACCTTGTATAACGTATCGAAATTAGTAAAAACTATTTTACGATAATAATATTTCCGTACTGAGTTTCTGAAGTTTACTGAAAATATGTTTATGATACATTCTATACTTGGAGTCATACTTCAAATCAATTGGTAAATTTTTGTTTGTATTTAATGAAACATTTTATACATAACCTTTTTTTACCTTACGTGGGTGTCCTATCATTCCTAAACTCTTGTAAGGATTTCCATCAAAAGGAAGCATTTGGATACCTATTTCTTTATTAGTTGCAAATATCATATATTTACCACCTTTATATTCTTTGCCAGATAGTACCTGTAGAAATATTTTTAGTTAAATACAAAAAAGAACGTATACACGTAAAATTAATGTTTATGTAATTTATTACTTTCATATGTTTAACTGGTGCACCATAAAGCGGTCCCAAAAATGTACCTCGGATCGTTTTCGTTATATCATTTAACAATCTGTATTTGTACTAATTATAATATTTTGTATGAGTTATTAATATATTAACGTTTAATTAATAATATAATAATATAATAACATATTTATTTAGAGATATATTTTCGGTGAAAATTTAGGCGTGAGCTAAATTGTAAAAACAATTTATTAAATTATATTATCATGAGAAAATTTTACTTAATATGACATAATTTAATGAACAATTTAATTAAAAAGTATAAAATTTGTTCACCTGAAACGTCTCTGCTGTTTTACATATTGTCAGAACAAAATTGAAAGTATATTTAGTTTTATCGTAGCAAAGAACGCGTAAGATAATGCTAATATTATTCTTAAGTAGAATATATCTCAAGTAATCTTAAGATAAGTCTTTTACTAATACAAATTTTTAATAATAATCTTTAGATACAATTTCTTAATGATAGTAATAAAATAAAATAAGATCTTTTAACACACACTTTCATATATATAAAATATATAAAAATATATATATCGAAAAAGAGTGAGGATCTCAAGAAGAAAAATTCAAAAATCTTAGGCTCGAACTAATCATAAATTAAGTAAGGGAAGTGTTGATGATCATTGATTTATTTCATGATACTATTCGTCAGGAAAAAGAAAACAGAAACAAGATAACAGTAAATGCCAATCATCAAACATAACCTTATTTAGATTATGTTTCGGTATGTTCCGAATAGACACATAAACACACAGCACAGTATTGTAATTTAATGTTGTATAGTATAGGTATAGATCCGTTTTTTTTTTACAAGATTAGATCAATCAATATATCTATATATATAGTTAACACCAAGAATTAAAGAATAAGTAAAACATGAATAAATCGACATATGCTGAACCCACTGAAAGACACATTTATTTCATAAACAAACCGGCGTATAGCCAACACCAGGAAAAACTAGGTTAAAAGTAAAAGTTCTGATTCCAGTGATATATCTTATGCGGTGCAAATAGATCAGTGTGGTGACATCTGTTATGCTATTAGGAGACTATCAAGTCAAGTATTGAAACAAATTGCACGAAGTTTAACTCGACAATACATGTTGTGTCGCAAATAATATGAAGTAGACTAAATCCAACTCATCAAATGCGATCACTGGTTTTTAAATAAATTAATGTTGTAATAGGAAGAGAATATTGGTAGTTTGGTAAATTTATTTACTTTGTTTACTTTAATCTTTTCTTTTTGATACTAAATCTACCACGACCGGTCAAATGACCAATCATAATAAATATAGATACATGTATATAGGCTGTATTGAAATCATAAGAAATGGAATAAGAAAAGAAATAGATATTAAAAAATTTATTTTATTGTAAGAAAAATCGCAAAGACAGATAATAAAAGTGATAACGTTAAATACAGAATACGGAAGTGTTTGTGATCTGTAATATAGGCCTGCTTAATAGATTTTAATGGTTATGAAAGTCTACTTATTATTTATAAGTATTATATGAGATGTTATGTGAAAATCTCATAATTCCTTAAAATCTCTCTTATTCATTCCTAAAACTCTTTTCTTTAACTTATTAAATTTCCTAAATTCGAAGTATGCAACACTTTTTAAATATTCGAATTATTTAAGGTGGATTTACATGTATTATTTATTATGTTGATGAAAATGTTTTCAGAATGATTGGGTGGAGGTCGAAGATCATGTTTTTAAATTTTCCCAAGCACCTATTGAAATGGCTATGAAGAGAATGCTTACAATATATACGTGTAGGTCAGCTGTATATGAACCTGCTGGCCTTGATATATACTTTAATGCTTAGTTGTGAATTATTTCAAGGACGGTAAGTATAGGTTGTTAAGAAGGTGAAAGAATATTTTTTTGAACTGTCTAAGAAATTCAATAATACTAATATATTGTACTAATATATCATAACTATAGTTTCAAATTAATATAATCTTAATTTGGCAAGACTCTCATACGAAGTGTATTCTTAGGAAAAAGGTTAGTCGACGCTTACTAGTTGAAATATAGACTTCAAGCTCGTTGAAAAAGGAATGTGCACTATATATAGTTTAGATGATCAGTAAAAAGAATACGTGATTGGTTATGTTCCGATAGGCTCACTTTCACTAGTAGTGTAATTAAAATGGGACACACATAATGCTCTTATTAGTTAAAATATTATCGTGTATCAAGGACAGTATGTTTGCAAGTGCTTCGAGAGAGAATTAGGTGGAAGGATCGAATTATTTTTCTTGCTTTAGTACCGTTTCACGAATTACTTATTTTTGTTATCAATATTAACACAATTAAACTGTAATTGTAAGATAAAGGAAAGAAAGGTTGGAAGAATTTAATCTTGGAAAATGTTACATTTAAGTTTTAATTTTATGAACTGTTTCAGAATTGCAAAATTCGGCTTCTTACATATTTGAAAAATTATATAATGCTGATGAGAATGTGGTGTGTATCAATCCTTTTGAGTATGTAAGAATTATAGAATTATAGAATTATAGAATTAAAATATGACTAGAAAATTGCATTTCTAATAGCTTTTAAGAAATATACAGCAGCCTTTGTTGCCTTCTATTAGGAAAATATTACTTGTTAATTTGTACAGTACAAAATATAAAAGGATATTAGAAAAGAAACTATTTAAATATAAGAATTACTACTTGAGAACAATCTACATTCTTCTTTAATATTTAAAATAGCAGAGATGTATCAGAGAGACACATTGAAATTTGTAATTATAGATGTGTATTTTACTAAAAATAATACAGTATGATAGAATCTAAAAATATATTAGTATTCAATTATTATAATTACAAATATGTCGAATGTATATTTAGAAATAAATATTAAAAATAAACGAATTTACTATAATATTTTTTTCCAGTTTTATTACATATTTAAAAAAAAAATTATGAAAAATGTTTCTCAATTTTTCTATAATTAAATATTACATATTAAATTATATATAAAATTATAATATGATAAAATAAATATATAAATAAATTAATTAATTCTAGATATTTTAATTGAGATTAGTCTGATTTTTAGAATTAATAAAAAGGTAATTACTTCGCTGTTAGAATACATAAGAAATCCTTCAACACCTAATTGAGGATACCAGGTAAGACAAAGAGGAATAGCATCACATTCAATTTTGTAAGTGCCAATTATCTTTAAGCCAGGAAAAGGATATGGTCCACTACAAAATACAAAACACTTGCAAAAATTAATGAAATAAATTACTTTTTTAAATTATTCCAAGTAATCAATTTACCTATTTTTAAGGTCATACTCAATTAAATTCCGATCTTCTCCCATAGAAAATAATCGATATACGACACTTTCAGTGGTGGCTGGTCCAAAAAGTATTTCTCTTATCGTTGCATAGTGAGAACGATATTTTCCAATGAAATTCCATAGATGAGAACCACTCGAATTATCATGATTTTTACTAAATACTGCTACTACCAATGTGTTATCCTAAAAAGAAGTTAATTATAGTAGTTGTAATTATTTAAAAATTTATAGCTTATATAAGTACTGATTGTTTATCAGCTTAATTCATTGTGGCCAATTTCTAACATTATAAATTACAAATCAAACGCTAAAAATATGTGTAATACGAAATAAATAAGAAAATGTTTATTTTTACAAATTAATATAAATTAGAATATTTTTATAATCAGATAGGGATACACGAAATTTTAAATAAAACATAAATTTTGTTTAATCTCATTGAAAATACCCAAAATAGTTTGTACCCAAATATTTACACTTATGTGAAAAATGACTAATTAAATTACTGAAAATTACTATAATTAATAAATTTTATTAAATAATTTTTTTTTCTTTCTATAGCTCAAGTATTCTAAATGTAGGTAATTCTCAAACAAATTTCATTTTGAAATTAACTTCTTTAATGAATAGATATATTACTGGTGCACTTTTAAAATACTAAAATAAAAAAGTTTTAAGAGCTATTATAATATTTTCAAGAATAAAAGGATGAATGGACTAAAAATTCATGATAAATTATTGCAAAGAAATATTATCATAAGTTTCTTTAATATTTACTGCATAAGCCATGTATTCTTCACACTCTGTAAAAGCCAATTGAAGTATCGATTCTGTCGAATGTTTGTAAGGATTTGGATCAATAGGCTCCAGAGTGATAGGATGCAGCATCCAAAGTATTCCATTTTCAAGGCCACATACAAGTAAGTCAGCTATAACAAATTCTTTCTTATCATTAAATATCATCTTTTTGCACGCTACACAAATTCGCAAAGTTTTTTTGGTTTTAACGGTTTTACAGTACGATGGGAAATGTGGTTTAGGCGAAATAAATGAGAAATAAAGCAAAAGACATACAGGGTGTCCCAAAAGAACGTATACACACTTTAACCCTTATTCTTAAGTTAAGCCTTATTCTTTCTAATTTATTTTTTCTTTTCTAGGTACAACCCATTTAAAATAATGGCTGATTTTAGACTAGACTTTGAAAGACGTAAATATATTTTAAAGTGCTACCACCATAATTTGTAATCCACCTAAATATATACTGTTTTTATAATCACGCAAAATGTGTATACATTTTTTTGGCATATTCTGTGTAACCAGTAGATAGGGATTGCCCCACTCCAACGTAGTGTGATAACAACGGGGTATATAAGGACAGCGTTTCAATGAGGATTCGATTGTCTTATACAATTAACGCGTACGCCGGAGGTTCTGTCCCAGGCAACCATTGTAAAAAACCTATGAAAATAAAAAAAATCAAAGGCGCTGGTGTACTACGGCACATCGGATTATTTTAAAAAAATTCTTTTATTAATTTTTCGCGTAACACCCTGTATAATACCGTCCAAAATCAAGATATCCACGGATGCCACTATAGTGGTGTACAGTACCAAAAAAGTTAAAGCAATGCAATCCCGAATAACACGTAAAACCAGGCAGGAGCTGATTCCTTATGAAAAAGTGAGAAGAATAAAAAGAATAAAATTTTTTCGATTTTGGCTTCGTATTCGAAATAATCAATTGTGAAAATTTATTTCATGTTATACGCTCTTACGATTAACATACTATTTATCCACCATTGTATAGCGTCTACCGTGCTTATAAACAATGTTTACAGGACATTTACGAGTTACTGCATTCAGGAAAAAATAAAAAATGTATTTTATCAACTTCGTCGTTTATTATTACTTATAGAATTTCTAAAATTAATTACCTCGCTCTCATATGCATAGACGAGCCTGTCTAATACAGATGTATCAACTCTAGGCAACGTATTTTCATTTTTCAAATTTTCAAATGCCCGATTAACCCTTTGCACTCGGCGATTATTTCGTTACAGAAAAATAATAATTCGAAAACTTTCTGCTATAAAATCGACGATATTTTTAAAACGGCAAATAAGAAATCGTATGCAAATTAAGACGTAAAATTATTTTGCTTCGATATTCCACGCATTATTGGGTAATTGTAAATTTGATATATTAATTAACATCCATTTTTAAAATCTGATTAAATGGCGACTGAGAGGCGCCTCTCGAGTGCAAAGGGTTAATACTTTGCATCGATAGATCCCGACTTTGAATGTCTGCACCATAAGCTTTTTCTGTGATATAATCCCATAAATAAAAATCAGGGGTTGTGAGGTCAAGCCAGGTAATCCTATATCCATAACCAATTCATCATTGCTAATTCTCATTCAAAAAGTCTCTTACTCTTCGTAGAGTAGTAGCGTGTTGGAAAATTATTGGTTGCCGAATAGGATAAGGAACTTCGTCTAATAAAGTTGACAATTATTATATAAATAATTATTTAATTTTATATAAAATATAAATAAGATTCTCCTGTGTCCACGAAGTACTGACGATTCGTGAAACATACCAAAAGTCGTGAAGCATTATTTACAAGTACGATAGACACTATACGTTGGTAGACGAATCGAATTTTACTTGTAAGTGCGTGTAACACGAAGGCAATATTCTAACCTGATTATCTCAAAAACGAAGTGCCGAAATTGAAAAAATTATACTCTTTTTACTTTTTTTTACTTTTTTACGAGGAATTACTTTCCACCTGTTGTTACATGTTATCGGGAAGACCCTGTATCGATATTTAATACCTTAAAAACATTAAACACCTAATATAAAGAGTAATCGCTGATTTTGTTTTATCCTCATATCAGAATTGGATAAAAGTTTGTCAAATAATAATTAATACAAATTTGTTTATCGACGAAAATCTTATTTTTGTTCATAAACATTTTTGAAACGAAAATTAGACGACGTGGATATTTATAAACAAATATAATTAATTTTAGCGATATCAGAAATTTAAAACATTTCCTTTTAATTTGAAAAATTTGTTGATTACATTTTTAGAATCTTTTTAAAATTATCCATACGTTTTGCTAAAATACGTATACGTACTTTTATTGTAATAAATGATAAAATTAAAATCAACGTAGTAAAGAATTGTAGAGTTTATTATTAACGAACAACCTGTTCTATATACTAATATTTAAACTCTTTTAATTATTTTGTAACAGAATTTTCAAACTATGTAGTTTTCCAGATTGCATGTCTGTTGATAGTGATTCAGATGATTAACATTTGTAATCCATTATCTCGCAAATATACACAGATACGGGTAGAATTCAACGTAGTAGTACCGAAGGAATTTTATGCAGTCGAGTCTTCTATAACGCCCATTGACTGCCAACTACGAGATATCTCGTAGTAAGCGTCTGCACCAAACTGCCAGCTACGAGATATCTCGTAGCGTGTGATGCAAGTTTGATTGGCTACAAATGGCCATTTGAGTTAAGAATTATTAGAAAGGATGAATGAAAAATGTATATAGTGTAGAGAACATGTTAATTATCAATTTTTATTATTAAAACTATTAAAATTATAACTTAGACGATTAGATCATTATATTTTGTAAAACTTCATGTTTTCTTTAAAATAAAACCGTGGCATCCAGGGCAAAACGCGCTAAATTTGCGTGGCAGTCAATGGGTTAATTCGTACCGCGTTATATGGAAACCGTGTTATAAGAATGTTTTATGATTATAATATCTCGAAGCTTCAGGCATAGCTGCGGCGCTGCTTATGCGAAACAAAATGGCCGCTTGGTAGCAAAGGGCCGTAACAAGCGTTTCCGATAAATATTTTCTTAATCCGTGAGAATTGAAATACACTTTGACAATTTTGCTACACGGCTTCTTCTTCGAAAATGGAAACCGGTACTATACAGCAAGTTCGTACTAGGTAAATAACATGTAAAAATGAAAAATTGTACAGTCAACGTTCCTATAACGCGATTAATTCGTACCGAGTTATATGGAAACCGTGTTATCAGAAGATCAGAGTTAATTGAAATCAGGAAATGCATTCTATAGAAACATAGTAACAAGACAAATCAAATTAATTTATACCGTTTTATATAGAAACTACTGCCGCATTATATAGAAACCGTGCAATAAGAAACTCAGAAATAATACAAATTGAATGAATTCGTATCGGATTATATGTGTTCCGTCGTGGAACAAGGAAGACCCGTTGCGGTCTTCCAACAGCCAGGTCTTAGGGTCGAACAATTCGGCATCGGAATTTTCCGCTCCATGCCTTCAGCATGTTTGAATGCTTTACCTTTTTTCTTTGACTTCTCGTGTCGCGAAACACGAGAATCCTGGAAATCCCTAATTTAACGAAATTAGGCGACGGCTCTTAAGACTTGGCTGACAATAGGCCTGAGGGCTCCACGCGGTCCGCACACGTTGGAAGCCTCAGGCCCTCGCTAGGGGTAATAAACGACCGATGGGGTCACCAGCGCGCGGGTGGACCCCAGGTACCCCACCTTGGAGGAGAGGGTTTCCTCCACTATCGTTGCTTTTTAGGGGAACCTTCCCTTTCTCCAAGGTTACCGATTTGCGAACCAAGGAAACGCCCTTGGTCAAAGACAGTCAATCATATTTGGCGAGCTCCCGATTTTTCCTAAGGCCGATCTTAGGAAGATCGAGGAGCTCACTTCGGTTCGAGATCTGAGAGACACGGGTTCTCTCTAAACAGTTCGGTTCGAGACCTTAGAGACACGGTTCTCTTCAAACACTCCGTCTAACCGATTCAAATCAACAACACGCCACGGTTTTTTTCCGAAACGTCGAACGTCGTAGACACGACTCTTTTCCGCTCGTGCAACTTAAACAGTTGCCCAATATTAATTTGGCGGGCAACACGTGTCGTAGTCGCGAGACGGCCTTACAACCCGTCGGAAATACGAGAATTTCGATCGCGACGCGACGCGACAATATGGAATCTCAGAAATAAATAATTGTACATAAATCAGACCTACATAAAAATTGCATTGTAAAAGTATCAAGTTGCGATTGGTACGGTTAATAAATAAGATTTTATAATAGAAATGGCAATGAATATGTAGATTTTTACATATTTGAATCTAGGTTTATCGAATATAACACATAGTTCGTATAATAAAATTATAAACTAAAAAAATTGTTTTCAACAAAGAAACTTAATTTGATACATATTAGTGTCGCATCCTGATTTAAAATAGGATTCCAACATGTTAAAACTAAACGGTTTATTACTTTGTTTTCTATAATTATATTTTGGGCGCCTATCAAAGCCCTTATTAAAATCTTTTCTATCATAAGTTCTTTTATCCATTAATATTATTCGATATTTCTTCTTGTTTATATTTATTTCTGCAACAAATGTTTTGTTCTCAAACAATCTTATGAAACCGTTTCAATCTGATCAGAATTCAAACATTCTTAGCCTGTGATTCATACATCGAGGATACCACAATTAGATTGTTTCATTACTCATCTGTAAGGAGGCGTAGTTCGGGGAACCGAAGGGATTCGGCTTAAAATTAATAAAAGATCTTTTGTTCTCAAAAAGTTTGTTCGTCATCCGTCGATCTCTTACTCGGTCGAGAGTCGTCAACGAACTGCCACGAGACACGCGTGCGGAGATCTCTTCTTGATGCTCGCTGTCGATCGTTCCATGACGATCGAGAGCGATCGTGTACACAAAATCGCCGCCATTAAAGTTGCCAACCGCCGGGGTACGACTGTCGATGGCAGCTCTCTTACACAACATCGCTGTCAAATATTTGCAGTCTGACCCTTTTTTTCCTAATTGGTCGAAAATCCTCATTTTGCAAATTTTTCAAGCCATTTGAGTGGTTGGACTGTTCTTGTACGAAAAATGCGTTATAAGCATACCGCATTATAGGAGAACTGCCCCAATTTTTGCACCGCGTTATAAAATCGCGTTATAAAAACACCACATTATAGGAGACCCGACTGTATACAGAGTGAGTCATGCAATTAGGACAGTTTATATCTCGTACGTGGACAAAGAGAGAAAAGAAACCACAACGTCAAATAAAAACGTCTATTTTCTCATAACCTCACTTTTTTCATAACTGAAATGATGCATTTAAGAAACGTAGATTTCACTTTGTTTCCTTCGCTTTGTTTTTAAATATTTTATGCACATATCGATTCCTCTTATCATTCTGTATAAAGATTTATTAGGTTAGTATGTTGAAAAAATTAATGTCCCGAGAGATATTTTTTATTACATATTTCCTTGTTATGAGATATTCCACGCAAGTGAAGCAAGCCATTTGGTAGTGCCAGTGTTACCAATGGTTCTCTGGCGCAAATAATTAACGAAAAATGTAAATTAAGGTACTAGGATAGAAATCTGATAAAAGAGGTTATGTTCCGGCGTGAAAGATAAATGGTAAAATCTTCTTCATTTTGCAAATTTTTCAAGTCATTTGAGATGTTGGATTGTTCTTGTACGAAAAACGCGTTATAAGCATACCGCGTTATAAGAGAACTGTCGCAATTTTCGCTTCGCGTTATAAGAATAGCGTATTATAGGTTATAGTGACTGTATACAGTAGAACGTCAATAATACGAATTTAAAAACTGTATATTGCATCGCAATGGGTAGAACATGGAATATAAATAGGAATTCTCTCTCACTAAGTAGCTATATTCTCTTTCGCGTATTTACACTTGAAAATTATTCGATTTCTAGTTTATTTAAGACATAATACAAAATTTTCTTTTTTTATATGAACAGATAATCGATAACAATTAATTCGGATAATCGACATTATACCGTATTAATGAAAAAGTTGTTCAAAATATTTACACGTTGGAAAATCGTCAAAATGGTCGAGGAATTAATATATCGATAAGTTTACCGACAATATTATAATCAACAAAAGACTTACCCATTGGCGAATATTTTATTATCGTAACGGCAACCAGTTTTTCGTGGCTCTGTGGACAGGTGATATAAACTATATTTCCACACTTAACTTGTTCCTCCACTAATACACTGAAATCTGGAAGAGCTGGAGTCTTCCTGCGTAAGATAGGTCTACGTTTCTCATAATCGTATAAACAGATAAAACCTTGCACGTTTCCAGTCACTATATAGTTGCTTATAATTCAAAAACCAAAATTAATGTATTACAAAAAATTATAAATTTATAAAGAATAGAATATACATGTGAAATTGGAACGAGTGCGACCCTGAAAGGATGTTAAGAGAGTTTGGGACATAAGACGGAAGTTAAGTGCATAAGATGCAAGAGGATCGAGTGTAAGGGATGCTTATGACAGGATCGAGTGCGAGAAGCGAGCGAAAGTTTAGGAATGCATCCCGAGCGTTTAAGGGATGCTTATGACAGGATCGAGTGCGAGAAGCGAGCGAAAGTTTAGGAATGCATCCCGAGTGTTTAACCCTTTGCACTCGAGAGGCGCCCTTCAATCACCATTTGATAAAATTTCGAAGCTCGATATTCATAAATATGTAAAATTTCAGTTAATGTAACGCTGTGCGAGGTATCGAAATCAAATAATTCTACGTGTTAATTATCATACGATTTCTTATTCCTGCTCAGAAAAATATCGTCAGCTTTGTAAAAGAAAATTTTTGAACTCCTATTCTTCTTTAGCCAAAAAATCGTCGAGTGCAAAGGGTTAAAATACCTGGCTCTCCGAGATTGCATGGGAAATGCGTAATCGTGAAAGAAATACTGAGTATGAAAGAAGACAGAGTGTAAGAATACGAGCAAGGCAGTCTAAAGTCGAGTGTTTTAAAGTCAGTATTGAAAGTCAGTTTAAAAACAGCAGTCAGTTCACGCCGGCGCTGATTTTTGTGTTTCTCGCTTTGTGTTTCTCCCGCAGCGGCGCGCGTATTCAAACGTCCTAGACAACTATTTTAATATATTGACCGTTTATTTGGAAAGTGGTGTAAGTCAATTAAAAAAAAGAGATATCACGTAAATAAAAAGTTGACACTAAATTAATTTGTGATTAATTTTATAGTTAAGTTTACTATTAATAGTAAATTAATAATATTTTGTAATATTTTTACTATCGAATTTTTGTTAGTTATGTTTGTAATATTATGTTTAGTTATATTCATAATATTCAGATAATATAAAGTAACTTCTTTTTCTTTCTTAATTAATACACGTTAAATTCCATTATTTAAATTTTCAACTATATGACAATTTTTTCTAGTTGGTTTTCTTCGCCATCCGATGGAACATTCAAGTTTGAGCCACCAGTGGAACCTCTCGCTCTCCGCCATCGTGCCGAAGATGGCGGAGAGCGGGAGTGCGTGGAAGGCGATGGCCTCCTTCTGTGAGCAGGTGATGCTGCAGAAGGAGGCCGCTGAAAGGGCCCGCGAGCGTGGGTCGACGTGTGAGACCTCGCGCACACGAGCAACCCTGCGCCTTTGGTACGGGGGAACAAGCAAGGTCAGGGTGGACCACGGACAGATGGGTGGGGGTCCGTCTGTCCGGGAGGCCGTGGTCATTGCGGCCGGGATCGCGTGATGGCCGCGTGGCGCCGTTAGAGTACGGAGGGATGCGTACGATCGTTTCGATTTCGCGAGTATGCTGCATGCGTGAGGTCGTGGCGCATGTTCCCAATCGCGCCGGGTAGAAACCTTCGGGTGTGTCTCGCGGGGGTGTCCTGGCAATTGCGTCGCCGTGAAGTCCAGGGCGCTCCACTATCGCGGTAGGGTGGCCATCGTGGGGGTTTTAGTGGGTAAAAATCCCACATAACCTCGCCCCCTCCCTCAGGGGGGCCGGGTATTTTTGGAAGATTTCCCCCACGTATAAAAAAAAAAAAAAAAGTTTGAG